GGCCCGAGGAGGAGGCGGCGGGCTGGAGAAGGGCAGGACGTGGCCCCAAACTTCCTCCTTTTGGGTTCGTTAAATCGCCACAGCTCGTTGTCTGACGGCAGCACGAACGCCCAACTCCCCCTGAAGCTGAAAGGGAGCCGTTTTCAAAATTATCACTGGAAATCTGCCTTTTTCCCTTCTAACGCGCACAGTGTAATCTATCAGCTGAGAATACTGATTCACCACAATTTCAGTCTAGCACCGCATTTACCGACCACTACTTCCTCCAACATTCTCAAGAAATCACTGATTCAATACCAACCTTTTTGGCATAACTTATAAAGGAATTTCTCAAACTTTCTATCAGATAACTCAGTATCATTGCTCTCCTTGTTAGTTTTCATAGTAAGAACACAGATAAAAGGTGACTACGGTCAAACACGCAATCTACTACAACACAGTAGCGTATCATCCTCTGAATATATTATACTTACACTTGAAGACTTGGTATTGCAACACGCAGAACATATCAGGAGAAATATTTTTCCAATTCATTTTTATTTTGGTTTCCATTGTTTACAGCATTGATACAGGAATAATTCATGCAAATTTATCACCTTAAATACAGCAGAGAGAAAACTCACTGGTAAGAGTATTTCAAAGAGCTCCATCAACATAACACAATGAGAAAAATAAGTAGCAGCAATAAGATAAAGTGCATTTAGCTTATCTTCTTTAACAAGAGTTTGGGGAAGACTGTTTTTGGAATTACCTAAGGATTAGTTTATCATTCTTTATGAAAATCAGAAGAGAACAGCCTCCTTGCTGATAGTGTTCATTCCTCCACCACTCTGAATTAAAGAAGTACAGCTGTATTTTGTTTAAGAGCAATCCAGCTCACAGGCCTTTCTGTTACAAGTTTGATTCTTGATCACTCAGGCTTCTAAGGACAAGAGTTAGACACATATTTAAAAATTCTTCCCTCTCATGTTAGCAGTTTTGCTTCTTAAAAAATTGAAGTGGTTCTTTCCCCCATTCTATAGGTTAGGCGTTCTCACTGTAGTGCTGAAACCTACATCACTAAAATCTGCACAGTGTCCGAAACACACACATTGGCAAGATACCAAATTCTAAGAACCCATCAATCTCTTTTCCCTTTACAGATGAGACACTGGCTTAAAGATCAGCTCATTTATCAGATTTCCCCTACAGGCCTGCTGAAGAGATGCCAACACCACGTCTTCAAAAGCAAGGTCAGCATTTCAGGTAGCCCAGAGCTGCTGCGCAGTAGTACATCGCCATCTCCCACTACCTGGAATTGATAATTTCCTGGTGTATTAGGGATGTGCTTAGTTCTCACTGAATCGCATAGCACATAGCCTATTATAAATGTGTATGTGATAGCTTGAGACTAGAGGTCCAAAATTATTCACATAATACCTGCAGCAAAATAACACTGGATGATCCCACTTATTCCAGTATACTTCACCAGAAGCCTAGAGAACATATTTCCAGAGGCAAGGACTCAAGTTTCTTACTCATTCTCGGATCTGATCGAAGCTCTATTTATGTCCTGGTGGTTGCCTGAGGAAATGGACCAAGGCCAGTGAAGCCCTCTAATGAAAACAGATTTCAGTCTGGGTTGGATTCAAAGCTGTCTGCTGAAGTGAAAGGTTTGTTTGCTTCCTGCATTCCAGGGGCATAACAAGAGTCTCACTGCCAGCTCCTACATGATCAAGGTACTTCAAATCTTGCTACAAATCTTAGAACTGTCTAAAGTACTTACTGACATTTCACTATTTTTACTCCCTCAAGTATCAGGCAGCTGCTTCTTTCTGGAACTTTCACGACACATGAAACAGGGGACTTGTCACAGGCACACAGATTCACACCTGAGCATGAACAAGAAATCCTAAGGTCAGCTGATACCATTTTCAAGTGAAAAGTCTCAGTGTCAGCAAGAAAAAAAAAACCCACTGCATAGTAATTCTGAATTCAGCTGGGACCTGCTCAAAGATAGCCCATATTCTCTAAAGTTTGATGCTGAACAGATTTAGGTTGTCACTAACCTCAGAACTACAGGATCTGATTCTGGATTCTGCAGCAATTTTGTGGGGAACAGAAAAATTATACCCAAGACATGGCAAAATACTGACCCACCAAGTGGAAAAGAAACTTTGCAACATAGGAATCTAATCCTGGTACTACTGAAATCAGTGGAAATTTCTCCTCTACCAATTCCAACAGGAAGAGACTCACCAACTCCTTACAATTCCCAAATCTTATACTCCAAATTCAAAATCGCTTCAGGGCAAAATTCAACAACTAATTTCATCTACGTTCAAATAAAGAATGTCTTTAAAAAAAGTAAGTTGCCGTAACCCATTCTTGCCCTGGCATGAAATGCAAGGGACAGATCTCCACTCCTGCCCCAGAGGAGCTGCACTTGCCAGCTCATTCTCATACTTTTAACAGAAGAGAAACAACATCAAATCCTATTACTGCATGGACTGTAACATCCTTTGGGAACTCTACATGAAGCAAAAACTCTTACAGCTTGTAATCCACATGCTGTTCTTGTGGCCAAATAGTGGTAATGGAATTCCAAAGCCTTGCTTCCAGAAACACAGCTGTGCATTTCCAAAAAAAAACCCCACATTCATCAACTTACCTCGTAAGGCAGTTCATTACATTCCGGCAATTGGCTTTTCTTGCCTATTTTTCTTCCTCAACAAGCTGCCAAATTATCAGCACTACCTCCTTCACAGGAGCGAGTTATGTCTTTGCAGACTATCTGTCCATGACATGAAATGGGCCAGACTGCATTATTAAAGAGCTCTTAAGAGGAAGAAACTAACCTCAAAAATAATAAGCTTACCAAAACAAAATCTTAGTCTCTCTTGCTCTGGAAGAGAACAGGGTTTTGTTCACAGGTTTAAACATTCTGACAGTAATAAACCTTTCTTTGAAGGGACACAGTGATTCTCTGTCATGTTCTATAATAATGGAAGATTAATCTAGGAGATAGGTCTGCATGGGCTATAAATGCATTGTGAAACCATCATTACGTCTGTGTGCATGGGATCTGTGTTTAGACAAACAGCTGCTCATCACACATACATACATTTGGGGCTTCGAAGCCAAAAGTTCCGTCTTCATGTAGTAAAATGAATGACTCCATAAAGACCTGTCAGAATAACTTTTAACCTGATAAACATTTGTTTGTTTGTTTTAAATTTGTTACTGTACTTGATTTTACTTTAAAAAGCCCCCTGTAAAGGTATGAAGCACATACTCCTTCTGAAGTAGCCTGGTCTCACAAGAAGGAAAAAGAAGAGTTATAAACAGCTAGTGTTTAGAGGTGGGACACAAAACGGGGAAGCAGAATCCTATTGTTCACACAGCGACTGGAAACATAGCAGCAGGCTTTCTCTCATTCCCTTTAGGGAATTCCATCACCCAGCACGCTCTGCAGTAATTAAGAGACCATTGAAGGGAAACAGTGTTGTTTTTCTCTTCTTCCCATACTATCTGCTTTGCTGCAGATACTGATGTGTGAACATGTTGAGTTCACTGTCAAGCCAACCTGCTTTATTCCTGCAAGGACAGAAAGTCTCCATTAGGTGAGTAAAATAGCTCTTCAAAGCCAATCTGAAAGAAGCATGACTAAAACAAGTGAATAGCAAGGCACAGACAGGAGTGCCAGAGGTCCATTCCAAAACGCTGCTACCATTCCTTGCCCTTCCTCAGGTCAGGAACACTTGCCTGCTAACAGTCCCTAGGCTTTGACCTTCAAACCGAGATCTGGGTCACAACTTCACATTGATCTTATTGTGGAGATAAGGAATATCTGAAAAATTCTTCCTGACAGCCTTTGCAGGATGAAGAAAAACATCAGAAAACTGTGTACAAAGGCGAGGGCGAGACTTTTTGCATAATTTCATAATAGCCTAAAGGAGTTTGTAGGAGTAGAGGACTGTTATGTTTTGATAAATGGAAAGAAACTGTAATTGACAACAAATCAAAAACAAGAAGGAAAAGGTGTTTTGTGAGACAGATGATTTAAATGATTGTTGACAGTACATGGGAAAGTACACAGTGAAAGGGAACATGAATTGGTTGAAAGATGCTGATGTCTGCACATCAAACGCTATGACAGAAGAAAGACTGCACTCAAAGATACACCCTAATCTGAATATCCTGGGGCAATCACATGAAAAACACGAGTTGTTTGTGTGCAAATATCTGTGTATATGGAATAATAAAATCTTACCTGAGCAGTTTTGCTTTGCTCTGTAGTGAATCCAGAACTTCAATTTTTTTATTCATGACAGAAATTTCCTGCTCAAGATTCTCCCGTGTGACATCCACTTGCTGACACAAATGAGCAAACGTTCCAGCAAGCTCTCTAAGAAACAAGGAGAATAGTTGGATACAACAAAAAGCAAGACCAAGCAGAAAATTCAAGGAATAAATCCCTTTGATGTACAGCGATGATGATACTGAATCTGATGTTCATCTTTCCACTTCTGCACAAGGATATGTCAGAGCATCAGAGCAACTTGATTTGAGAGATGGAAGTACATTAAGACCAATGCTTAACAGCATCCAAATACTGCATCAGTGAATCAAAAAATGCAATATTCTTTTAAAACGCATGTATCATTACACACTTTTAAATCTGGAATTCAATATGCAGACTATCATATCATATAAATGTCATAAAAGGAATATGATTTTTAAAAAACTCAACCAGAATTTAGGTAAGGTTTTAGCTGAATATAAGCAACTCACTGTTGGACTTGGTGGCTGCAATTAGAACCCGTATAACTGACGATGAGCTGCAATTTCTCACCAGCATACTCCACAAACTGCCGTTTGAAAGCTCGCTCTTTTGCTTTTGTGGTCCAGGTGAGGCGCTCATATACATAAAGGAGCCCATAAAGGCCAAAAGAGAGAGCAATCAGTCTCCAACCCACAGCTTTCCAGACCTAAAAAAAGCACAAGGAAAAACAAATGACACAAGCATCATCTAGGAATGATGCTAACTCCTAACAATGGTGCAGGGAGCATTGCACTTATATTCTAGGCACAGGAAATGAGCCAGATAGATAACCCTGACTTCCAAGTGGTTTCATTGGTCAGACAGCTCACTACGGATGTCCAGTCTACAAAATAAAAATACCTAACCTGAACTATTGGGGTTCTGTATGGGTTAACCTTTCCAGCACATTTAAATTACATCTGCAAGTGCAAACGAACTTTGGTTCACACAATCCCCGTTTCTGAAGTAAAAGACATTTTTAAGCAATCATCTCCCCTTTACGATATCATCCACCCCTAGACACTGTGACAGTAGAATAGCATGTAGGTATGGAACTTGCACTACAGACCCTTAGATTCTTCCTGCAACAGGAGCTACCATGCAACTTGAGTTAGATCTCTTATGCCTCCACAGTTCAGGGAGATTCGAGATTCAAAACGCTCACTATTTTCAAGAGACAGAAAACCAAGAAGTGCTGATTTTCTCTGAAATAAATTAGGCATAGTATCTAAAATTGAGTGCTCTCCTCCCCTTCCAGGAAAGAAGATACACATGATCAGAGGCTCTTGGTCAGTATTTCTGTCCCAATTCCTCTGTAAATGGGAAAAGAAATATACCGAGTTTTCTTTTATTGTCACAAAAGAATCAGAGACTACTTAATGTTTTTGTAAGATACTTCAAAGGGTTATCTTCACAACCCTGGCTCCAAGCCTGACTATTATGCAAAATAAGCTCAATATTTATACTCAAATGGAAGTTCAAAGGAAAAATATTTCATTATCTGTGAATAGCAAATATCTACGGGATTCAGCAGTGCAAGCACTTTTCAAGTCAGTGCTCCAACTTTATTTATACAAATGCTGCTCAGATTGCCAACGCACCACACCACCAACCACGATGATTCCCATGGAAGTTCGGGAAGTTAATGAGGCCAGTCCAGTCACCATCGACACCATGAGCTCTTCCTGGGTCATAGAGCCCTGAGGCAAAGGAGGCAGACTGGGATTTGCTGGTGTTAAAGGGCGCTGAACCTAATTAGAAAAGCAGTGACAAAACAAAACAAAAACAAAGTACAGAATAAGAGAAGGCAAGCCACTGTCCTTCCCACCAAAAAGACTTCAGCAGCCACTGAAATGATGAATACCACATCTACCCTGATCACTCAACGAGGTATCTTACCTGGTCATTATAGCCCATTAAGGCCCGACGGCCATTCTTTGGTCCCAAAAATCTGTTCACCAACATCGTCCATCCAAGAGAGAAATGGAATTCTATGTCCTCTTGGAAGTCGGCACAAAGCTTGTCACAGTTCAGATCATAGCTGAGCATGAAGCATTGTCGGGGAATTAACATGTCTATCTGGCCCCGCAAAGAGACTGGGAGAAGGGGTTTTAAACCATCTGCACAGACAGAAAATAAAAACATTCAAAAAATGGCTATTGAGTTCACAAGAATTAACTGGACTTGTATTCTGTAATCAGGGTGGTTATAAGTTGTTCCATCCTCCGCAGTTATTTTTCTTAGTACCTTAAATTTACTAAAGCCAAGCATGTTGCAAAGCAAGGGATTCATCATGAATCACTATTTGGTTCTTAGCTCTTCAGATCAACTCAGAAGGAAATCTTTCCATGGACCCTCCTAAATCCTTACAGGTAGCTGATGAAGTTTACAGCTTAGCAATAGCTTGGAAAACAGAATCTGAAGGCCAGGTCTAAAAGTGTTTAGGCACCATACTCCCATTAAAGCTTATATTCAGACAAGCACCTAGTTACAAGTCATTCACATTTCATTAGGATCTTGGTCTGAGAATCTCTCAGGTTTCCCAAGCCACAGTTCCTCTCTGTCGTGAGGATTAAGTTGATTGTGTATATTCATTAGCAAATCACTGCACAAGTTCAGATACAGAGTGGAAAAAGCAGGAGTAAGTAGTCCTTTGTGCAACAGCATTACTAATCAAGATGGAAACTAAGACAATGCCAGCTGCACATCAGCCATCAGATTAAAGAGAAACCCAGAATATCTGCCTGGTTATTTTGCAGTACAGTTAAAGGAAAGAGAAAGGGAACTATTGCCTTACCTATCATTTCTTGCTGCATTGTCTGCAGGGAAGCTGTGATTGCATTGGAACAACGATCTGACATGTTACGGCCCAGGCCTTCCTCAATGTGTTTGTGCAGCTCCTGACAAACAAAGAAAGGGTTATTAAGCTTAAAATAAAGTAAGATGTAGGCTGCAGGTGCTAGAGCTTGCCAGTTAAAAAACCGATCCCAGCACAACATATTCACATTCTGTCTGCCCACTGTTCCAACACTAACTTCATTAATAACATTAATCCCATTCTTCAGTGAAGGAGAGGACAAAGCAAGTAGAAAAATCTCACATGTACTCCATAGTGTAGGAAAAGTTCTGTTTGATCTCTACAATGTGATACATCATATATATATCAACTTATCACTGAAAGTATAAAAAAAACCCACAATTTTTAAATTTTTTTTTTTAATAAGAAGTTCATTTTTTTACAGAAGCTATCCAAATGCAAGAGACTTTCTAACAAAAGATTTTTCACAATATGAAAAGCTTAGCTCACATCCTAGTTGGAAGAATGAAGAATGTTAAGCATCTCAGTGAGCTGGCATAGTTACTGACTCAGAGCAAAAAAGGCCTCTTTGAATTGCTTAAGCAACCCACAAGAAGCAAACATCACTTACACTCTTGTAAACTTTAAGAACTACTTGAGATGGATGGAAGTCTGCTTGGTATTCATCTACCAACACTGAAAGCCGTCTGATTTCTTCTGCCATTGCATTTGACACCTACAGAAACAGCACAGGACAGAGTTTCTACATAGTCTGTCCTAGGGAGAGATGGAAAGCCACCACTGAAGACATGCATTTCTTAGTAAGCGCTACTGAGCATCAGGCACTACAGTTGTGCAGCGCCATGCAGCCATTGTGTGCCAACTGCAAAATGCAGTATTGGTGACTTGCAAACAAAGTAGATGGCTGAGAAGTATGTACACTGATGCTCTGTGTAACACCACAGACAGAAAAAGACTGAGGCAATATAAGACTTGCGAAAAATGAATAGGCCTTTTCTATATATTCATAATAGTAAAAATGGCACATTATTATTGATAGTAAGAAGACTGACATTATTCTAGACTGAAATAATAAGGAAACTTATCTGAAACATTTTAATATTTTAGGAAGCATTTAAGACTAAAATATAGTAGAAATAATAATTCAAACATTAATCAAAGTCTCATTGTTTATTTAAAGCATCTTATATGAGTCTCTCTGAAAGTTTCCCCCAAGTGTTTCTTCTAAAAGCATTTCTTCTCTTCCCATCTGTAACTCCCACATTTCTAGTACTTCAAACCTTTGTCAGGACTTTGCGTTTTTCCCACCATGCTGGTAGCTGTTTCAGACAATCTGTTTTTCTGCAGCTACTCCTCCTTACCTGCCTCTCCACTTCTTCTGTGATCTGTTTTATTTTCCGCTTGTAGTCTTGAGTAAGGAGTTCCAGCTGTTTGTCAATAAAACCTAAACGTTCCTGTCGTTCCTCTCGCATTTCCAGACAGTAAACTCTGGGAAAAAAAAAGTGCCCATCAAAAAGCCAGATAAATGCATTTTTGATCTATGAATTTGAATTCCAGAAACAAGACAGATTCTCCTGCCCAAGAACAAAAATGCGTCAGTATCTACAATATATTACATACACATGACAAAAAAGAGGTTCTTCTCCCAATACTTCCACAACTCACTAGAAGCAAGACGACTGGTACGTGTCCTTCCCACTCCCAAACACGCTGTATTTTGCTTTGCATTTTAAACACTCATGTTCCCTTAAATTTCTCCCAGAATACAAGCTTCAGTTATGCAAGCACCAAGCATCAGCTCTCCTCACCGCTGTTCCTGGGCAGCAATATGCACAGAATCCATGATGAGACGAACATCTTCCGCAATCTGCTTTGCTCTCACCGTATGCTGCTCAAATTTTGTTTTTACTGCCGACTGTGAGATACATTCCTGTATACAAAAGGCAGCCCAAGATTAGTAGCAGACAGATGCGTACTAACACAATTTACAACTTCTCCTTCCCATATAATCTATTTCCAAAACGTGGTCCCACTCCACATTTATAAACTCTAGTCCCCAGCCTTTCAGGAATAAAATCTAAACAGAAGGTTAGTACACATAACACTCACCTCAAATCTTCTCTCAAAGTTCTGAAACTCAAACATTCTTACTTGAAATCCATCTGCCAATGCCCCACCTGAGAGAAGGAAAGTATAAAACAACCACTTAAGTTTTGAGAAAGCAATCAGACGCTGGACATCAAGAAATACTCCTGCTTTACCTTGAATTCAATGCAAAAGTGCTGCTAAGTCACCTCTGGTTTTGATGGCTCTATTAATAATCTGACCCATCCCAATTTTATCCATTTTTGGAACAAGATATTCTCTATTTTCTTCCCTATAAGAAGATGGAAAGTTTCTGTTAGCTTCCCTCACCTCCTTCTGGCATCCCCTGAGCCCTCTGAATCCTGGCATTCAGCACTTCTTTTGCTGACACAAAGAAAATTCGATCCCCTGCCTGGGCTCGATCCACCACACCCAGCTCATCTACCAGGAAACTGGTACACCGCTCCATATGCTGTCGACGCACCTGAGGGATAAAGAGGATAAATCCCACATGCAGTTAAATCCACTTTACGCTCCATCTCTTAAAGGTTAGATCAGGCACCCAGATGCCCTCTGCTGGTCTAAGCTACCAATACAAAAGAATAAGAAAAAAAAAATTGCTGTTTTATGGAATCTTCCAGAGGTTATCCAAGTGATCTAACTTCAAAAGGCCCCTGTGAAACTCTTGATTTCCAGCTCAGAAATTTCAATACTCATGTCCTGACCACTAGTCTATACTCCCTCTAGTCTCCACGCTATGGTAATAAAAATCCAAACTGTAAAACAATCACATACAACACAATGATTCTACCTGCAAGGACCAGAGTCAAAATGAACTCTATAATATCCATGCAAAGAGAAGGAATTTAAACACGTCACAAACCTCTTCCATGTATTCCGGTTCAGAGGCAGATGCATCCCAGCGGTTATTTAAAATAAATATATTGGGTCGAGACAGACGTTCATTCACCTTGTGAAAGAACTGTTTCTCCTAAGCAAAACAGAACAAAACCTCTTAAGATTAATATGTCAAAATTTTTTAACTTTTAGCCAAATTCAGTGAACAAGCGGACTTGAACATACAGTTTGCATCAATGTTGATTCAGAATTTGCAACCAGGACAAATACATCGGCGTCTAGACAGAATTTGTCAATCCAACTGTCCAGCTCTGTGGTTACATCAATGCCAGGGCTAGCAGTAAAAAGAGAAGAGACATTATTATGCTGTGGAAACAGCAAAAATAGAATTTAAAAAGTTAATAAGAAATGTGTTTCAGCTTTTCAGAGCATTAATTTCCCATGTCTGAGCTACACTATCCTGAGGTGACACAGAGTACAGACTAAAAGGAAGTAACAATCAAGAGAAACTCTGACTGCTAACTACAGCAAAGGACTTTAGTCACTGACACAGATTAGAACAGGGTCAATTTCCTTGACGTTTGTTAAATTTGTATTTGAATACATTTCTGCAATTAATCTGTGATAAGAAGGAAAGGAAAGAAAGGTATTTCTCACCTGTCCATCAGCACCAGGTCATCCTTTAAGAGAGGACATTTGGAATTGGGCCACATTACACTGACTAGGCTACCAGCATTCAGAAGTTCATCTTGATGAAGGGCATGAGCCAGCTGGTTTACTGTCTATTAAAAAGATGGATAATCCGTAATATTTCCTGTATGCTAAGACCCATTAACACAATTATCTCCCCTTCAAGGCTGTTCACAGTTTAACATAAAACCCAACTCCAAATCACTTTCTCCCTGGGAGGTTTTCCACATAAAACTTGCTTGAATCTCCTAGTCAAAATCAACCACCTAGTGAGAGTTTATGAGGAATACTGCCAACAAAGGCTACCGAGGAATTGTCAGAAGTCTGTCAGGAATACAGAGCTCCAAACTTCTTGAGTCATCATTTTGGTTCCCTGCTCTTACTAACAAATAAAACATTATCATCTTTGTCATAAAACGAAAAATTTCCACCCTGTAACTTGCTCCATTCCTCCCTTCCTACATGTAACAAAAACTTGTTCTTCATCTCTACTCCTTTAATGATTAAAATCCTTAACTGTGAAATTTATTCATATTGCTTTAATTTTCTTGTTCCTTCCCTTTTCTGGCACTTCTGAAGTGCTCTTCTCTTCTACCTTATGCTTAAGGAAATTGTACCTTAACACTCTTCTTTTCCTCTGAGCCTTCGGTAAGCAAGAAAGCTTCATGTCCATCTGTTCCTTCTACACGCAGGAAACAATTAGTGGTGTGTCCAATTCCTGAAGGAAGGACTTTGTCCCATAGCATGGCATTTATCACAGTGCTTTTCCCATTGCTTGTCCTGAAGTCAGATTAAAGAATGGTATAGCTAGGCTTCTGACATTCAGGTATACTCATTTTGATATTACAGAAAGCAAGTTCTCTAAACCCAAGCAGTATCAGAAGCATTAACAATTCAGGTGCCATAGGCAACTTAAAAAAAGAGTTTTCTATTTTCTTATTTTAAGAATTCTTCCAAATCAAAGAATTATGTGCTATAATATTTGTTTCCGATTTACAAGAGGACTAGTACCAGGGACACGCACATTACAAGCAAAAGTTGGAGCGCTAATGTTTCTATAAATATTTTTAACTGGCTACAGTCCTAAAGATGCCAGTTGCTTTACTGAGTGGGGAGCGTAGGCGACACAAGCACGTGACTCACCTTCCAAAAAAAGCAACTTTCATGTGTCGTCTTGCCAGCACTTCACTAATGCCACTGACTTTTGACAGGTAGCCTTTGACTTCCAGTACCTGCTCTTCTGTGGTGACAGGATCAAGCTCTATATTCTTGTGTGTTTCTAAAATCAAAATACATCATGTCTCTGAATTACAGAAGTCACCTGTCTCACTACTGGGTGAAAAACCTCTTCATGATGTAACACACTTAACTAATGTTTATCTGTGTCCCAAACACCGTGTGGGTAATCTTGACACATGCAACTACACCCTGAGGCAATTTGCATCAGCATTTATCAGTGGTCTCTTTTGCATATCTAATAATGACTCTCATTCTTCGGACTGCCTTAAACAGGACACAGCCAACACTTCAAACACTCCAACAACCTTTAAAAAAAGTCTTCTGTCTGTGTTGTAAGCTGTTAAAGCCAATTATTGGCATATGCTACATATCACTAGCAATGACAAATCTAGGCCAGAATATTGAAAGGATTACAGGCAAAAAACCTAAAGGGTCTTGTACAGTTTATTAAAAAACTCCCAAAAAACATAAACAGCAAGTATAGCTCACTAAGTAGCTTAGTTTCCTAACATGTGAATTTGTCAGCTTTAAAATACGAACCCTGAACTCCACTCAAATTCAATAAAGTAATTTTCTGTCTTCTTATAAATAGTGATATATAAACAGACATGCACGTACAAATAAGCACAAGTCTAGCAGTGCCATTTAACTGAATGAGGGCTTTTTCATGGGTGTTTGGGGCAATTGCATGTGGGCTAAGTGCCATTACACACTTGTAGTTGAAGAATTCAGCTTACCTTCCAGGAACGAGGAGCTCTCATTGATGTATGCAGCCAACTGTTCAAAGATACCATTGATTTTCTTCTTTGCAGTGACAAAATGTTTAAGCGGAGAAGCATTTACCTCAGCCATGTGTCTTTTATCCTTCTTCACTGCAACTATTGACTTGGAACGAGTAAACAACAGGGACATTGCGCTACAGGGAAAAATCCAGTAAATAAAGGTGGCTCACCAAGTGCCAATAGCTATCCAACTAAGCATCCTACCGAGAACGAGATAAACATATATTTTAAAAACAACCTTCTTTCTCTCACAAAGAAGTTGTTCCACGTTCTACAACTGCAAGTTACTCGTATATGAGAAACAAAAAAATTCATCTTTCCTTCTCCCTTCCAATAAACAGGCCCCCAGAGATCACTTCTCCCCTTTCTCCACTTACTTTCAGGATGATTTACGTTTTCACAAGTCAGGCATGGTCAGCTCGAGTCTCTCTGGAAGCTGAGCGACTGCAAGTTCTCCCGCCTTCTCCCTCGCCCTGGCCAGAGTCCGTCCCGCAGCTCTTTTCAGCGACGCCGAGTCCAACCTGTCCCCGTCCCTGCGGCAGACGGACCAGGGGATGAGGGACACAGGCTGCCGAGCTCCCCGATCGGCCAGGCTCTGCTCCCTCGCCATCCCAGTGCCCGGGGGACACACCGGGTATATGCTCCGGGCGGCCGCCGTCGCCTTCTCCTCAGACCTCAGGGGGCGGGCGGGAC